TTGTGTCCGTATCATACAGCTTTGATTGCCATAGTTTTATAGTATGGTTTTTTGAGAAATTTTCCCAGTATAATTAATGTACAGTGTTACATTAGTTTCAGGTGTACAATATAGTGATTCAGCAGTTCTATAAATTACTTACTGTGTATCAGGATAAGAGTAGCTTGGAAGTTTTTTTTTTTTAAGATTTATTTATTTAAGAGAGAGAGTGCACAAGTTCATGTGTGCGAGCATGAGTACAGGAGGTGCAGAGGAAGAGGGAGAGGGAGAGAACCTCAAGCAGACTTCCTGCTGAGCACAGGACCTCTATCTCACGGTCCTGAGATCATTACCTGAGCCGAAACCAAGGGTTGGATGCTTAACTGGCTGAGCCACCTGGGTGCCCTTCTTCCTGATTTTAGAGGAACAGCTTTTGACTGTTCCTCTAAAATGAATTTAACATCATTGAATATGATGTTAGCTGTGGGTTTGTCATGTATGGCCTTTATTATATTGAGGTATGTTCCCTCTAAACACTTTCTTAAGAGTTTTTATCAGTGGATGCTGTACTTGGCAAGTGCTTTTTTTTGCATCTACTGAGATGATAATAAGATTTTTATCATTTTGTTAATGTGATGCATTGTGTTGATCTAGTGGATAGTGAGCCATCCTTGCATTCCTGGAATATATCCCACCTGATTGCTGTGAATGATCCTTTTACTAAATTGTTGAATTCAATTTGCTAATTATGAAACTGTTGAGGATTTTTGCCCATATGCTCAACAAGGATATTGGCCTGTACTTTTTTCTCCTTCTTCTTTTTTGGTTATGTCTTTATTTGGTGTTGGTACCAGCATAATATTGGACTTGTGGAATGAATATGGAAGTTTTCCTTCCTCTTCTAATTTTAGGAATACTTTGAGAAGAGTGGGTACTAATTCTTTAAATGATTGGTAGAATTCATCTGTGCAGCTTTCTGGTCCTGGACTTTTGTTTGTTGGGAGTTATTTTGATTACATACTGACTTTTGTTACCAGATCTCTGTTTAGATTTTCTGTTTCTTCCTGATTCAGTCTTGGAAGATTATGTATTTCTAGGAATTTATCCATTTCTCCTAGTTTGCCCAATTTGTTGGCATACAATTTTTTTGTAGTAGTTTTTACAGTCCTTTATATTTCTGTGAGGTCCGTTGTCCTCTTTGATTTCCGATTTTATTTAAGTCCTCTTTTTTTTCTTGATAAGTCTTGCTAAAGTTTTATCAATTTTATCTTTTCAGAGAACTAGGCTCTTGGTTTCATTGATCTTTTCTATTTTATTTTATTTTTTAGATTCTTTCATTTATTTCTACTCTGATCTTCATTATTTCCTGTCTTCTAACTTTGGGCGTGTTTTTGTTTTATCTTTTTTCCCAAAGATTTTTTAATTTACTTATTTGCTAGAGACAGGGAGAGAGAGAGAGAGAACAAGCAGCAGGAGCAGCTGGCAGAATTAGAGAGAGAAGCAGGTTCCCTATTGAGCGGGAAGCCCAGTGCAGTACTCGACCCCAGAACACTGGGATCATGACCTGAGTTGAAGGCAGCCACTTAACCAGCTGAGCCACCCAGGTTCCCTGTTTTTGTTTTTTCCTCTCTAGTTCCTGTAGGTGTGGGTTTAGATTTATTTGAGATTTTTCTTGTATCTTGAGGTGGGCCTGTGTCCTTGTAAACTTCCCTGTTAGAACCACTTTCACTGTGTCTCAAAGTTTTGGACCATTGTGTTTCTATTTTCATTTGTCTCCAGTGGTTTTTTAATTTCCTATTTGATTTTGTCATTGACTCATTGGTTGTTCTGTAGCGTGTTGTTTAGCTCTAGTGGCGTTTTTGATAATTCATATCCTACTTTTAAAAATTGCTTGCTTTTGCATTCATTCAGCAGTTACTCACTGCTTGCTCTGTTTGTTGTAGACTTAGGTGGGCTTATGTGACTTTTTAATCTCTGAGCATGACTTTCTCCTTGGCCATTAGACCAGTTTTTCCTCGTCTTGTATGTTTGCCTCCCTTTCTGGAACTCCAGTTCTTGAATTTAAATCATAGAGTATCTAGCCTACTTTTCCCTGGTTAGACTTGACCGTCTGGCTCTTTGTGATGTGATTTAAGCAGCATCTCGGTCTGTTGCTGCACTTGGCTAAGAGAGCTAGAGATAGCAGAGGACTAACGGGTGGGTTTGTCGAAATTCTTATAGCCATTTTCTAAAGGGAAATTTGCAAGACTGGCTTAAGAAAACCTTGCTGAAGGAACGGAGAGACCTTTTTGTTCAGTGACCATCAGTGTTTTCCCCTCATGTCCTCCTGCCAGGCACAAAACCTTTTTCCAATCTAGTGTGTCTCAGATCTTTTATAGTACATTATTGCATCCATTATTTATGGCAGTTCTTTCTGAGAACTTTCATGCCATTACCTGTAGGCAACGATGATGTTTTTGTGAGTGATGCCCCAGCCCCTGCATCCCAGTCCGGGGGGTCGAGGGGAGCAGCTGTCTCCACCTTACTGTAACCCGGATGGTAAATTTGTTGTTGAGCTTTTCAGCCTTGCGTGGAAATCACCTGGGAGCATGAAAAGCTCAGATACCTGGGCCGCAGACCTCATGCTCTTGTTTGATTGTCCCAGAATGAGGTGTGGACACTGGTATTTTTCAGAGTTTTGCAGGTGATTCTGATTTCACCTGGGTTGAGAACCTGTTGTCTTGTAGCCTAGTGACCTGATCTTAACCATCTGGACCTGCTGTCCTCCACTGCAGCAGAAGTAGAAGAAAGAAGGGAGGAACAAACTAGGGGCAGCTGCCTCACCTGGGAGGGAGGGACTCTTTTAAGTGAAGCAAAGATGGATGAAAATCAAGAGGAATTTTTGAGACAGATTGCTGAAGGCCTTACAGGGTTGGGGAGGCTTATTTACAGGAGGGAAGAACAATGAGCATTTGTCAGGCCAGGGGTGATGTGCTGCTGAAGGTGGATTTAATACCTGGTCATGGGGATAAGGACACTAAGGTTTTAGCACGTGTGGTGGCACCGACTGGACTGAAAGACCTAATAGCAGCAAGCGTTTGTCCAAACCAGTATTTCAGGGCCTGGTACTCAGGTGGAGCAGACCACAAAACACATAGCGTACCTTAAATCCATTATTTTAGATTTAAAATCGAGATTTCCTGGGGCACCTGTGTGGCGCAGTTGGTGGAGTTTTCTGACTTTTGATTTTGGCTCAGATCATGATCTCATGGGTCATGGGATCCAGCCCAGACAGGCTTGGTGCTCAGCGGGGGCCTGGTTGGGATTCTCTCTCTCTCCCTCTCCCCCTGCACACCTTCTCTCTTAAGTGAATAAATCTTATTTTTTAAAAAACAATTTCCTGGTTATAATGCATTATTAATATAAAAGGATGGAGAAAGCATAAGAGGCCCAATTTCCCAAGTATATGTATCTGCTCTGGGGATTGTTTTTTTGGGGGGGTGGGATCATTACAATTAAAAATAAAAAGAGCTTATTCTAATTTGCATTGTGATTATTAGTGAAGTTTAATATAATTTGGCATGTTTACAAAAGGGTCGGTTATTATTGACCACCTTCTCTGTACATTTTTATTTTCTAGTACTTTCTCCCCCCCACTTGATAATGTCGAGATTTTTAGAAACTACCTAGTCGTCTGGTAACATTTTAGAAATTATTTTCTAGCTGTTTTGGCTGGTATGAAGGAGGCCAGACCGTAGGCATCCTTGTCATATTCTTGACTTCTTAAGTGATGGGCATGATGGGCAGACCGGGATATATTTCCTCTGTTTTCTTTGTGAGCCTGCATCAGCTCATACAACAGGCCTTTGCTGGTTGCTTTTAGCTTATTATCAATTCAGATGACAGACATTCCTGGTTCTTAGTTTAAATAAAATAAAAATACATCTCCCCCCGCCCCTTGTTTTGCCTTAAGTATAAATTACACAGTGTTTGAATTGTGTATATTTAAAATCTTTTTTTTTTTTTTTTTTTTTTTTGGTGGTTGTTCCTGAGTAATTCTAATGGGGGGCAGGTCTAAAAAATTATGTATTCTATACAAACAAGGCTAAATTATCCAGATATTTAGAATCTTTGTAGAATTTTTGTTCAGACTTTTTAGATGACAGTGCCCTGGGCATAAAGGAAATCTTTTGGCAAAATTGCTAGCTCTACATGAAAAAGCACCGCTTCCTCCCTATTAAGAATGGTGTTTGCAGGCCAGGATATCTCCACAGGAGAGGAGTAAGCTTACTTAGCTGAGGCTGGGTCCTCAGAGCTCCCCTAGTCCCCTTGTCCCCCATCTCCACTCCTGCATCTCTAGTACAGGGAGGTAATGCACAGTATGTGATTGTGAATTAAATTCACTCCCTAGATGGAGGTATTTCTGAATTAGAACATACAGTTCCAAATATGTGACCTGGCCTCATCTAGAATGTTTGTTCCATTGAGGTTAGAGACTCTGTTTTGCTCCCTCTTGCAACTGTAGCACCTGGAATAGGGATACCTATTTAAGAGCCCTTCTGTGATGGCCTCATAGTGGGAGCTGAAGAGGAAAGGGGTTGTAGATTGTGTTGGGGATGACATTCTTTAAGGCAACTATTAAACTTTTCTTTAAGTCTGTTTGAATCTGAGTCTAATTAAATTGATTCATTTCCCATCAAGATAAGACTTAAAAGCATCCTTTGTTTTATTGTGCAATGCTCCCCAACTCTTTTCTCAGGAAGAGGCAAAGAGAAATTGACGAGTGCTATATTTGTCTCCAGGACCATGTTTAAGACAAATGTGCTTTCTATTAGATTAATCTTTTTTTTTTTTTTTAACCTGCCTTTTGTTTGTGTTTTAGACAAGACCAAGCATAAACTCTCCCTTAATGGCCAAGACTCTACTAGAATTCTGAAGTCCTTACAATACTGTGGGACTTGCAGTCCACCTTGACAATGCTGGGCTGACTCTTCATTCCTGTAACTAGGTCCTGCCTCTTATTTGCTTGCAACAAGGCAGACTTTATAATCCTCCCTCTCTTACTGGATTGTGAACTCTTGATGGTGATATTTATTTCTTTATTTTCAGTGTCTAGTGCATAAGTACTTAGTAAATCTTTGTATAAAGAAGTCTTGTTTTCCCCACTATTTTTTTTTTCTCAAGTAGGAGTGGGGGAAGAATCTTGCATCATCCTTAAGGAGGGATGAATCTATCATGGATAAACTTGAGGTTCTTCAAAGTGGAATACCCAGTCTATAATGTCAAGGCTTACACCCCCACTCTTCATTGGATAATGGAAATCGTCTTACCCAGATTAGTTTGCTACAGCATCCCCCCCCGCCCCTTTTCTTGATCCCCTTCCCTCCTGTCTCTTGAGAAACCATCACTTGTTTTTCCTGTGTATTGAGTTTCTCCCCTGGTTTGTGATGTTTCTCCTGGACTTACATAGCCATATCTTTTCTCCTCTCCCCAAAATATCCCCGTAATTGCACCATGTTGGAGGGGTTGCTCTCTTCCTTCATAATAAAGCTTCTTGAAAAGTGGCTTGAACCATTGTCTTCATTTCCTTACTTTTCATTTCAGCTTCAACCTGCTGCTGTCTAGTTTCTGTACCGTGCCTGGTCTGAAATCTGTCTAGACACAAACATGGTCCATTCACTACCCCATGGATCGTCTTCTGGTCCCTTTGCTTGATGTTCCCCACCTCTCTTATCAGGCTCACAGTTCATGTGGTTTGGGCCGGGAAGCCCTTAGGGGGAGATGGCTCACTTTGCTGTATGGCTTCCCTGCCAAGATCCAGCATGAAGGCCGTATGTCCCGATTAATGCTTTCTGAAGTACTAGAGCGAGTGCCATCCAGTCTGAACCCCTGAGAAGTAGAGGCTGTCCACTTGAGATTATTGCCTGTTTACAGAATGCTGGAGAGCTGTTCTGTGACTAGATTTTTCAGGGCTCCTTACTAAAAAAAAAAAAACCAAAAAACAAAAACAAAAAAACCCTCTTCTCTCCAGGGTAAAGTTGAAAAAAACTGGTGCATCAGCTCTTCTAGAAGTTAGCAACCACAGATTGGGATCAGGAGTGTAAAAGCTTGGTCAGACTTTCCCTTGTTTAAGCTTTCTAATGTTCTCAGGTCTTTGCATTAGGGCTACGATCTTTTCCCATTTGAGTGATTATAAAACCCTTTAAATTGTGTGTGTTTTGTCGTCACTGTATGAGCACAGGTGAGGGGGTGATGGAGGCATTCTACGTGGTCTTGGGATGTTGAGTGGTAGTAGATGGTGGCAGCTCTTCAAATGGAAAGTGTGGGGACCTGTGGTCGGTGAATACCAGGCTCCCCTTGTGCCTGGAAAATACTGCTGGGAGCTGAACATCATATGGCCCAATCAGGCTCTCTCGTGCCCTTTTATATTTCTCTTCTGCTAGTTTATGACTCTACAGGTAAGCCTTCATGGTTATATTTTATTCTGACCCCGAGTGATTATTTTTAATTTATTTCAGCTTAGGTTGGGTTATTTTTAGGGGTGCATTTATTTTTCTTTTGGGATGTTGCAGGATAATAAAATCAGTGGAAAGATTCTGGTCTTCTTAATGTTCTCTTTCAAGAGCGTGGGTCTCGGAAAACACAGCTTAGCCTTCTGATAAAATTAATTTGATAGACTTGCTGTCTCCAGTTTCTTTAAATAAGATTTTATTTACTTATTTGACAGAGAAAAAGCAAGAGAGCACACGTGGGCAGAGCAGCAGAGGGAGAGGGAGAAGCAGGCTCCCCACTGAGCAGGGAGCCTGATTCGGGGCTTGGTCCCAGGACCCTGGGATCATGACCTGAGCTGAAGGCAGTTGCTTAACCAACTGAGTCACTCAGGCACCCCTGTTTCCAGTTTTGATGTAACCTGCAGGATTCACAATTGAGTTATGTGGTGACAAACTGTTTGTGTTGCTTAGTTTAACTTTCTCCCAAGACCAGTTTGATAATTACATGGAAATGGAATGACGAGAGAACCTTAAGCTGTCTATACAGCTCTTTGGCTTACAGAAATGACTATCTATAGGAACCTCTAACTGATTTAAAAATTGCAGTAACAACCAGCATTCAGATATTTATCATGTGCCAGGTCCTGTGCCAAATGCTTCACCTACCACATCTCATTAAAATCGCTTTGTGAGGTTAGTATTGTCTCCCTCCGACAGGTGTGTCCACTGAAGCATGGACAGATAAATTGATCCTCTCAAGTTACCTGTTTTGTAGGCTTTGGGCCCCCGATTGTGACCTTAGGCCTATAATTCTCGGTATCATGTCCATAAAAGACGTAACCGACAATTTCAGGGCTCACTTTGGTGGTAGAGTGGGGGTTAAGTCTGTGTTGAACAAAAGCTATGGGACTTGTTCACTTTGAACCATTTCTTAGAGGCGGCTGGCTGATGAGATGACAAGGGAACTGAGAATCCTCACCTGCTGGGTGTTCGGTCTAAGGAGCTGTGGGGAAGGAATCAGAACATCCCCTCTTGCTGTCATTGAGGGGTTTAAACTGCAGTGTAGTATTATTGATGATGAAATAATCAGCCCTTTTCTTGTCTGCGTTTTTGAGGTTGAAAACTTTACCTGGGAATAATTGCCCCCATCTCCAGCTTAGTTGCCCTGTTAAGATGCAAGGAATCATAGCAGCATAGGGAAGTAGTTGTCTTTTAGGCAGGTTTCCCCTTTTAGGGAGGGTTCGTACCTATGTGTCACAGTTGTTCTGGGTGGGCAGGGAACTGGCATTCTTACTTGTAAAGGTGACCAGTAAGGAGGGTACAGAGGAAATAACTATGAGGCTGAATGGATACAGGGGCCTTGTTTAGCTCTGCTCCCAAGTAGAATTGTGACCCTCAGCTGATCATAATGTACCTGGCCCTTCCTTTCCTGAATAGTAAAATGGGATTTTGAAACAGATGATCTTTAAGGGCTCTTGAACTGCTAAAGTTCTATGATTTCATATATCCCACTAAAGCAAACCACACCTGATGAGATCACAGAGGTATATTTAAAAATCCACAGACATTATATGCACATTTAATGAAGCTAAAATTGATTTATTAGAATTGATTGGTTGCATTGTGGTAGTAAGTGCGGGGCCTTTTTTCTTGGTGGAGGGGATGTGTGTAGGATTGGTTCATTCCTTAGGGTCTGGCCCGAGTGGTTCTGGAGCTTGCATGCCATTTTCTCCACTCCTCCGGCTGAGTACCCCTCGCTTAACAGGCTGAGACCTTCCCTCATTCCCTAGGGCTGCTCCCAACATTGGGACCTTGTGCTCCCTTTCTATAAATTGGATTTCTGTTTTGTCTCTGAGTCCCCCCCCCCCGCCCTTAAGATCTTGGTAGGTTTCTTTAGCACCGGAACTCTGGCTGTCTCTTTGTAGAACCCTATTCCTTCCTCTGTTACAGGAATACAATTTTTTTTTTTTTAAGATTTTATTTATTTATTTGACAGAGATCACAAGTAGACAGAGAGGCAGGCAGAGAGAGAAGGAGGGGAAGCAGGCTCCCCGCTGATCAGAGAGCCCAATGCGGGGCTTGATCCCAGGACCCCGGGACCATGACCCGAGCCGAAGGCAAAGGCCCAACCCACTGAGCCACCCAGGCACCCCAGGAATACAAATTTTTAACCCCCCTAGCTCAGTAAGTCGGCCAGCTTGTTTATCTGAATTTCTCAGTCTCAGAAGAAATTTACAGGGTGTCCATAACATTTGGAATTGTAGACTTTTTTCCTTCAGCATGGTGAAGAAACCATAACTTCATACACACAGACACGTATTTTTTCCGTTTATCTCCAGACTTAATGGAGGTCTTGGAAATGTGTGTGTCACAGTTATTTTTTCTTTCTTTTTATTTCTTTAAAGATTTTTTACTTTTTTAAAATTATTTTTAAAGATTTTATTTATTTATTTAATAGAAGACACAGCGAGAGAGGGAACACAAGCAGGGGGAATGGGAAAGGGAGAAGTAGGCTTCCCGCTGAGCAGGGAGCCTGATGTGGGGCTCGATCCCAGGACCCCGGAATCAGGACCCGAGCCAAAGGCAGCCGCTTAACGACTGAGCCACCCAGGCGCCCCCACAGTTATTTTTTCTTGCTGGCATGCTCACCCTTCCTGGCTTTGCCTGTGTTAGGACATATTTACTACAAATCTTTCAATGCCAGCCTTCTGGCTGAAGCTATCTATTCCACACGGTTCCCTGCTGACCCTTACTACCTTTCCTAAATCCTCTCTAGGAGGCTGGCCTGTTCCTGGTCACCATCCCTCCACCAATTATAAAGGTACATCAGGGGTCCTAGGTGACTGTGATCTACTTCTGCACTAGAACCAGGATGGCAAATAGGTTTCTGGAATGTCTGCACCAGTGAATTGGGACTAGCCACCAGGAATGTTGTGTGAGCTTATCAGGAAAGAGCTAGGACTGACTCATGATCTGCCCTGGGCACGGGACAGGGAAGGGGCGGGACACGTGCCATTGTTTGCCATTGGCCGTGGAAGCCCAAGACTCTGTTAATGACTATATTAATTGTTTCTTTGGTTTTATAATCTGGGGATCATAATGGGTTTTTGTGCATATCAGTGTTCTTTACTGTTTGAGAGAGTTTCAACAGCTACTTTAAAAGAGTGGCTTAGCCACCTAAATTTACAAAAGGTCTTGAGAGATTTCTTACCAGGAGAATTATTTAGATTCTGTACTTAGTAGTAAGCTCTATCCTTGTCAAAAATATTGATTTCACTCCTCAGCGATAGTTTCGAAAATGTGCTTTCCAAATATCTTCTAGTGGAGTGTCTCCTAGCATTTCGACCAGCTGCCCAAGGATCTTTGGGAGATTGTATTGGGAAAAAAATGCTCAGCTCCCTATATTAAGAACTCCTGCAAATTAGTAAAAAAGAAATACATGGTCTATCAGAAATATGGGCCAGTAATAATAGGTAATGTCTGCTGAGCATGCCAGAGCCTGTCCCACGTGTTCTAAGTGTTGTATTACTTAATTCATACAGTTCCCTAATGAGATCATTATTATTAGGATCCCTCTTTTGTGTCTGAGGCTGTGGGGCATGGAAGCTTATTATTTTCCCTGAGGTCACTAGCCAGTAAGTAATGGAACCAGGATTTGAGCCCAGACAGTCTGACTC